TCCATTGTGCTGCCACCTTCAGGTGTAATACAATGCCATTTTTGTTTATGTGAAGGAAAAGATCCATTAGGGATCAAATATGATCTTCCAGAAAAGGCGTGTCAGCGTCTGCTGCTCAAGAACACTTTGTTCCTAAATGAATCATCCCAGTGGTATGAACAACTGCGGTAATGCTGATGAATCATCCAATAAGGAGGCTTCATTAATTCCACTGACAATGTCATCTTGTTAGTCATAGATCAGCAGCTGTAGTGCTCAATATCTTTTGGTTTTGCTGAATTTGCCGACTTTAATTCAGCAAACTGTCTTCATTTATGCTTCTCAGATGGTAAAAACATCCCCCCATCTTGCACTGTCATCACCATAACGGCCAGCGTAGATAAAACACTGTTACTGGTTGACGTAAAACATTGTTTTTCATGTGCCAGTGGCAATTTCACTTCATAAGAGATTTAATTTTCTGGCATACTGTGGAGATACAAATGATGATTCACCAGGATTAATCATCAATTTCCTTTGAAAAGGCATGGAACACAATGTGCAGCCATTTATGCAGGAGATCTGTACTTGAACCGTAATAATCCTTTCACTTACATTACAGCGTCTCTTCACCTTGCAGGGCTCAACAAGCTGCATGTTTATGTAATGTATTATTTAACTCTGTCTGTCTGTCTTGTCATTTCCTCTGCTCCGTCAGGCTTCAGACTGTGAGATGCAGTGGGTCATCCGTATCTCCGTGGTGGTCGTGGGTCTGGCTGGCACCGGCCTCACCTTCCTGGACAGTAGCGTCCTGGTGTTCTGGATTGTCGGCGTGGACATGTCCTACACCATAATGTTCCCTCAGCTGGTCTGCATCCTCTTCTTCAAGGTCTCCAACGGTTACGGCGCCATCGTGGGCTACATAATGGGGCTCCTCATGAGGATCCTGAGCGGCGAGCCCCTCATTGGCCTCCCACCAGCCATCCAGTTCCCCGGCTGCCGGCTTGACAAGGAGGGAAAGCTAACCCAGTACTTTCCCTTCCGTACCGCCATCATGCTCATCTCTCTAATGTCTATTCTCCTTGTTTCGTTGTTGGCGTCCATCATTTTCAACAAGGGCCTGCTGCCGGAGAAGTGGGATGTGTTTAATGTCAAACGCAGGCAGAGAGCAACAGCCAAGGTCACACGCATTAAGAGGACCAACTCAGAAAAGGAAGAGGCTGCCGTGGCCAAGCAGCTGCTGGACACCACCAGCTGCTGAGAAGTCTCACAACGAGGGGGAGAAAGGGTGGGCGCCGGCTGGAGGCATGTTTGTCTGCTGGCTGGGCACGATTTCACAGAGGGGGAACAGCAGCAAAGGCTGGATGCTTTATACAGTTTGTACAGCACTGCTGACACAACAGCAGCAGATATGAGCTGAGCTCTCTGGTACCCGACCTATGAGCTGCTGTCTTCTAAAGAAAATACAGTAAAAAAAAAATAGGCTCCCTGGCTAAAAGCCATAAGCCTGTGTCTTATAAATAGCCACAATAATAACATTCACACAGACCCAGAATAAAATGTTGCAGTTTGTGCTGCATTCCATTTAAATCATTAGTCATTACTTAAAATGGAAACAAATTACATACAGTTCATTAAAACCATTTAATTTTTTCTTTTTTTGCTACAAGCTTACAGTAGTTCCCTTTCACAAGCACACTTTGACAGGTGGAGCTGCTGCCCGGACCTAAATTTTCCTTTCCTAACGACCACCAGCACTGTGGTAAAAAGACACTTGCACAAAAAAGAGACTTTGCACAAAAGGAATAATCAGTCCTCCAGAATGTTGACGATTATAACAACACACAAATAGTATGTTGTTATTTATTAACTTTTCACATAATCATATGATCTGCATCGCAGCGCTGTGCAGCGGGTGCTGCTACCTTTCCTCTGATTGTCAGCAGGACGCGGCTCTTTGTGTCACCCTGAGAACAAAGAACGAGTGAACGTTTTGCACGGCTTCATATGAGAAAGATGTTTAGACCGTTCATTTCATCATCATCTCCTTCCTTTATTCACTAAGGCTGCCTCAAGTCCAATAATGCAGCAACAGCAACTCTCCTCATCTTGCTAGTTAGGTTCATTTGAAGTCAGCTGATAAGCTCGGCTGCAGTGCAATGCTGGAGGTGCTGATGTGTGAGAAATAACAAAACTCATAAAATGGCAACAGAAACACTGATGGAAGTGACACCGACACTATCTCGTGCTTTTTAAACGTCCCGTTTTTTCCTCCCCCCTCCTTGTCTGCTGAATGATGAGTTTTGCTGTAAAGAAAAACAGGGGGAGATGAAACTGTACACCCGCTTCGCTCAAATGCATTTCACAAAATAACTGAGTGTAGCAGTTTATTTCCTTGTTTCCTCGTTTTCCTCCGCGCTCATTCCTCTTTCTCACGTTTTTATTTCTTCTCCAAGAGTACGGGAGAAGTGCCTTTCCCTTTTTTTGTTTTTAACGTACTGTCGTTTTTTTGTAACTGTATGCAAAGCTGTAGTTTACTGTGGGATCATTTTTTCTCTGAGGCGGTGCAAATGTTTGCAGCTAAGATTCAGAGAATTGAAAGTTTTACAGTAGTACAAATTCTACTCCCTTTTATTAATGATTTGATTTTTACGACTGTGTAATGTTTTTTGTTGGTTCTTTTCTTTTTCCTTATGTGTGTTTTATTGCACTAGATGCCTGGTAGTAGCAGGAAGTCTTCCTCTGCCATGCTGTTGCCTTTGATGTCACTGGAAACCTGTTTTACTAAATTGTTGATTGTGTAATTCACAGACTAAAACTTTCATATGCGCTAGTCACTGCTCTTATACCTCATAGTGGTATTGTTGTTTTTCAAGTATACAAAACGTTACGTTTTTTGGCTTCTATCCAACAGTGTGAATGTGAACGAGCTGTCAAAAAGAAGAAAAAAAGCAAAGACAGATGAGGACATGCAGGTGCATGCATGTGTCTTTTTATACGTGCGATTGTGATTCCTACTTGTATTATTACTCTTGTGCTGTAAATTCTGATCATAATTTGTATTTCTACACTTTCTATTTTTTATCAGTTGTTCGCTTATGTGCAGAGTAGAAAACTTTATCTCAAGTTAGCAAAATAATATATAAATTCACCTTTGATTTCGCAGAACATGAATATAAATATAGAATTTCAACAGGTGTTGATGAACCTTCGAGAGCACAACACGTGTGGAGAAACTGTACGTGCCTACGTGAGCACTCCTGTCCCGACAGCCTCAGATTACGTCCACATGACGTGATCTGAAAGCAAACTCAGCAGCCGTCCTCGGGAGGCTGTCTCC